GTTGCTAGTGCGCGAATTTTGTTTTCACTATTGACGAATTTTCAGGCCGATCTCGCAGGCCGAAATGCGCGTGCCCCCCTCCCGCGTGGCCACGCGTAGTAGTGTACGTATACGAGAAAACATGCTATTACTTTGTGTGTACCTTTTAAATGCGAAGACTTCGACGCAGCAGCAGCAGCAGCAGCTGCAGCCGTTTCAATTCAAATAATTCAAGTGCGCTCGCGGTAGTTAGCGGTGTATATAAGCGCGAGAGGACTTGAAATAATTATATATACACGGGCGCTCATTGCGGCTGCACGACACTGTTTAAATTAATTGCTTATTCAGCGCGGCCCGCGTGTTTTACTAAGAGTTTCGCGAGCGAGGGAGGGAGAGAGAGCTACACTATTAGTTAGCTGAAGCAGAGCAAGAGTAGTTATAATGTGTACGTATATACTATATAAAAGCGAAGCCCCAAGTTCAATCGCGACATTAACTCGTTTCGCGTCGAGTGAATAACATTAAAACGTCTGCTGCTGCTGCTGCGCGAGGCCACTAGATGCGTTTTATCGAACTCTCGAAAAGAGATAAAAAAAAAAATAAATAAACAAATAAAGTCGGGGAAAAATACAAAATCGTTCACCTTCCTCGAACTCGCGATATAAGTCTGTGCACTCGAATTCGGATATAATGTACATACGAATGAATCAAAAAAAAAAGAAGAAGAGAACTAAACAGCGCTCGTATATAGCCCCGCGTGCACGAGAAGCCGAAAATTTTTATCAGTTGGTCTGCTGTCTCTCTCTTTCTCGCCAGTGTAAAATAATAATTAATGTAAAAGCTCTCGGGTCCGTCCGGTGTGGCGGCTGCGACGGCGGCGGCTAAATTATTACATCTGACAGCTACCGTGATACGCGCCCGGGCTCTCGCCTCTGCTGCTCGAGAGCTATATAATATGCCGGAGCAGCGAGATCCCCACCCGGCAATAATATATAATATAATGTGCGATGTGTGACGAGGCATCTCTGTCTCTCGCTCTTTGGTTCCTCGTGCCTATACGGCATTATCTCCGTTCGCGGGCATCGTTAAAACGTATTTTAGTATAAATACGATGCGACACCACACGCGTCAAACAAGGCCACGAGTAGAGACGCGTACTATCGCGATGATGATGACGATGATCCAGCCCTCGGGGTGTCGAAGATGTTTGTTTGGATCCGAATACACACACACAAGGCGTAAATGTATTCGGAGCGGCGCAGGCATCGATATCGCGTGCGCGCTATGCATATAATTACCTCGAATCTCATCGAAAAATTTACGACTTTTCGCAAACAAATCGAGAGAGAGAGAGAGAGAGAGAAAGAAAAAGAGACAAAAGTCGGCACGAGTTTATCTCTCTCTCTCGAAAACGTAAACATATCGGCGTAAACACGCGCATTATGCGAGTATGTATAAATTTCGCGGATTTGCGCAATCTTTTTTAAAAATTAACAAAAACAATCGGAGTTTACAGAGGAGGTGCGCCGAAGACACAATGGGATAAGTATGTATACCTGCTCGATTAATGGTATGCAGCGAGACGCGCAAAGTCCGCGGTCCAAGGATTCATGATCGCTGGGGAATCCCCCATATATACATACGTGCGTTGTGTGTAATGTATGTATATGCAGGAGTTCGTCGAGCTTTTCGTATAAAATTATAATTCAAATTGCGAATGTTTAGCCAGAGAGAGATGGATATATAGAAGCTGTATTATAACTATTTCGTCAGACTTTGTACATGCAACTGCGTGAATTATATGCGCGGGGAGGAGCGCGGGTTTTTTTTCATTTTTTTTCTTTTTCATTATCGTCGGTTAGCCTTTTTTTCGGAAATTTCTCGACAGGAGCGAGTTTTAAATTAAAATGTCCATTCGCTTTTTTGAATACTTTTTATGCTACATAATTATTTCAGCTGTGTGTGTACCTAGTAATATGTATGCATAATTTTCACGTGTTTATTCTTCTCAATAGCTTCATTTCTTTTACCTTTTTTTTTATTCATATTGAAAAACTTCAAAAATTTCAAGCGTTAAAATAAAAAAATTCCCGTATTATATACAACTCTCTTTGTCGTTGCGTTGCTTCAAAATATAATAAACACGGTCGTTTTACGATCGGGCGGAGCTCGTCCATCCACAGCAGCAGCACCAGCAGCAGCAGCTTCAGCGAGCGTTGAAATATTTGTTTAAGCTCTCGCGAGATCGATTATGCTAAGACGATAATAAATGAAACTTTTATGTGTGCGCAGCGTAGTCGCGAAATCTGATTTATCGCACGCGATACAGCCTCGCCGAGACTGCATAAACGTCGTTTTTTTCACTTCGTACACTTTTCGTCGTAAGCTTTTCGTCGTTTACGCGCGTTGGAAAAAAGTTTCGATTATGGATTATGGATCGAACGTGTTTTAGAATTTCGCACTCGTGCAATAATATGCGAACGAAGCGCCGAAAAAAAAAAAACAAGCTAAATAGCAGCGAAACAGGCTATATTAGCAGATTATTGTATGTATATTACGTACGGGTCACGAAGTGGCATTTACGACGCGCTGCGCGGACGAAACTCGTCCGATTTATGTGGATTGCCTCAAATCAAGGGACGCGAAGAAAAGAAGCCATTATACGGCAGCTTATGGCACAAATCGTCAAATTTTTTAGTACCCACATAGCGCGTTCTTTCGTGTTTCGAAATTATAATACGCGCGATGACTTATACGGAGAGCTCCGAGATTTTTGATCCTCGTCGCAATGCAGGACCTTCTTAATTAACTGGATATGACATGTTTTTCGTCGATAAATAATATCTCGCTCTTCGTCTCTCTGTGCTTGTATTTTGACGTTCGGCCAAATTTTTTCGTACAGCACAAAGATATGTGGAGTATGTTACAGAGAGACGGATGACCCGAGAAACGGCATTCCAACAACAATCGGGCATCGGCAACAGCAGCAGCAGCAGCAGCACATTATAATACGTGCGATCGAGTTGCGGGCAGGATCCAGCTGCTGCTGGCCTACGTGCGCGCGTGTGTGTATTTATATGATTTATCGTTGGAACGACCTTTATGGATTAACGAGCATCGATTTATAATTTTCATTTAACTGGCTTTTGGCAATGCTGCTGCTGTATATAGTGTAGCGTTCGAGGAACGACGCGCGCGCATATAATCGCGCGTATAAAGCTCGGGAGCCATTATGCGACGTATACATTGGGCTACTTACCAATAATATGCAAACTTTGACGATTTCGGGGGGGCTCGAGAGCGACACATTCCCCGAGCATATATACGAAAGCATATGATTAATTCACCTGCCCGCACTAATTACTATAACCCTGTGTGCCCTGGGTGGCACTCGAGTGAGAGAGAGAGAGAACGTGTGCGCGATATTTCGCGTGTAATATATATAAAGCTTTGGATGGACCACGTCTCTCTCACTCTCTCTCTCAGGTTTATGGCCCATTTCCCTACATACATAGCACAGTCTTTTTCTCTATCTCGTTTTGAAACTATACACCGAACAGTCGGTCTGCATGTACGTGCCGCTATCAATATTATATCTCGGGTATTTTTGACGTGCGATTGCCAAACGTCGCTTGATGGATATGTAGCATATCTCGCGCGTGTGGTACACCGTTCACTCCACTGTACTATTCTAGCTATTTATCGTCGCGTGCTTCGCGAGTCGGGTAATCGTTATTCAAAATATTAAACTTCTTCCACGAAGTAAAATTATTTATTGAAGAATGAATATGATTATTGTTTATCGCGAGGATCGATAACTCAATTTCTTCCGTAAGATATAATTGGCTTTGTTTTGCTTTTAAAATTTTAATAAGCTTTTAAATAGAGAAGCAGAGAGATACATACTAAGTAACTTTATTATTTTGGTTCTTGGGGAGTAGCGACGATTTTCATTGTTCAAATTTTGAGTATTGTCGACACACTATACATTATACACTCAGCCTTGAGTTGACCCGTCCAATAGGCTTGGTTAATAATTGTTTCGATTGATTGATTATTACAATTGACCACATAAATTCAAGAGGCATTATAGAAGCCAATTATCGATATCATCTTACATCATCGCCATTTACGAAAGACTATTTCTTCATTTCAAGAAGATATTCATCGTATTTTACAGTAATTTTGACTTTTCCACTTGCGGATTAACAAATAAAGGTAATCGCCATCTAGCGGTGCAGACTGTCACTAATTATGATTCGATTTTCATACATTGTTGGAGCAATTGATTCAAAAAATAAATCAGTATTGAAACGTTAATTTTCAATCCAAACGTTTTAATTTTAGTCATGGAATTTAATATTTTTGTTAATTTTTGCATTAAAATTAATGAATGTGATTGTATTTTCTTGCTTCTTGTTTCTGTAGTTTATGTAAAAACAACACCGGCAAGACCTTGGACCCTTTGGAGATCCACGCAGATCAGATATATTTCGAATTCTGTATTATACGTGAGAAATAAGCAGGTTTTCGGAATTTCATAGTCACAGATTTTCAGGGATTGAATTACAAGAAAATCATAATTTGCTATCAGTCTAATAATTATTTCATGTTGAATGAGAAAGTTTCAGGCAATTATCATTACAATTATATCTCTGATATGCTCTGTCGCTAATTAATCTTTCATTATATTTGTCTTGAAAAATTGTTTATTTTTTCGTTAAAATGACAATTTTTAAATTTAAAAAACTTGTTTTGCTCCCGGTAACAAGCTGTGTACTTGATATGTATAATCAATTGGTTCCTAAGGCTCCTTTTTACACTTGGCATACACTTAGAAAGTGTCTCTATTTCTAGCCATGATCTTCAATTTTACGATGAACAGCGCAATTGCTGTGTCCTCTCATATAGTTCGTTTCGACTACACCACACAGATCACAGGAATATTTGAAAGTACTATCAAAATTCATGTGCTTTGTCAAATGATCGAAAAGTTTGTCTCAATTTTCGAATTTGTGATTTTATATTTTTTCATGAACTGAGACAATGTGTTTCCTTAAATGATTTTTTTGACTGAAAGTCTTCCCACATTCTTTGCACTTGTGTTCTTTAAGTTTCAAATGAACTGTATCTATGTGCTGCATCAAATGAGGTTTTTGTCCAAAAAATTTGCCACACTCTTTACATTGATGATTTTTGAGTTCCAAATGAACAAGATCTATGTGTTGCATAAGAGTACTTTTTCGTCCGAATAGTTTTCCACACTCTTCGCATTTTTGATCTTTGATTTTCCGATGAATTGCGTTTATGTGTCTTTGCAAATTATCATTTTGAGCAAAAGCTCTTGCACATTCTTCGCACTTGTATTTTTTGAGTTTTAAATGAACCGTATCTATGTGCACTATCAATTGCTGTTTTTTTCCAAAAAACTTGCCACATTCTTTACATTGATGATTTTTGAGTTCTAAATGAACAAGATCTATGTGCTGCATCAAATTCTGTTTTTGTCCAAAAAATTTACCACACTCTTTGCAAGTGTGATCTTTGATTTTTAGATGTGCCACGGTAATGTGTTTGGTCAAGTGATATTTTTCACCAAAAGACTTTCCACATCCCTTGCACGTGTGCTCTCTGATTTTTAAATGAACAAGATTTATGTGTTTTGTAACATTACTCCTTTGTTTAAAAGACTTTCCACACTCTTTGCAAATGTGATCTTTCATTTTTTAACTTTTAATTTTAACTTTCGAAGGAAACCAGTTAATATTAGTATTCCAAATGGTCTTATAACTGTAAGTGGTTTAGAAAATTTGTTTTTAAATAAAAATATTGCTGTAAATTGGTTTTATTTCCGGTTGAGCTTCACTGAATATTGTGTTGTAAAATCGTCTCACATACTTTTTTCAGCGTACTTTAGAGAACTCTTAACAATTAAAAAGCTAATTTTTATACGTTTGAGTACCAAATTTATAATTACTATTTTTTAATGTAAGCAGTGAGTTCACGTCAATATATATAGAAAAATGAAAATAGAAAAACTTTTGAAAAAATTATTACAGATTTTCAATTTAACTGTAACACCGAATTTAGAGAGTTTCCGTACTTATAAAATGAATAAGACTAATGCTGAAGAGAAGAGAAAAGTAAATAATAAATGTGTGTGTATCAATTAATTTGAATTTCTATGTAATGCCGTCAAGTTTTTGTTTACATTCGAACTGTCATATTATATTATCCTGAATTAATGTAAAAGTGTGAATGAAATGGATTGATGATTTATCAACGACTATGAATCGGGGGTAAAATTTTATTTATTTTATCTTGATTAAAAATTGGTATTTTTTGTGGATTAGGAACACAATAATATTGAATAAACGGATTCACACACTTACAGTACACTCACTTACGTCTTAGTATTCAACTGTTGACGTTCATTATACTATATGAACGACTATAGAACTTAGTAGTAATTCGATTAACAATTTTACATTAAAATTTTACCTATTGATGGATTTATTGCAAATCATATGCTATCGTTTACTTATGATTTTTCTGCATTAGAGACACTTAACTTTTTTTAATGCGATACTAATGCGCTTTTCGATTAAGATTGGATTATCCGATGAAGGATACTGCTTCAGACGAAAAGTACCATAATCAAAAAAGTTGACTTAAGATTCGTCGAAAAGTCGAATAGTTTTGATCAGTTTTGTAACAGGAGTCTGCAGTATGTGGCTCGTGTCTTTGAGGTACACAGTCATTTAAAGCAATCACGCAAACACATGCATTGTGACAAAAGTCAATCGCCATATTCATTCATTTTTTCGGGCTCGATATACTTCTTCTGAGCGACCCTCGCGGGGGGCAGCGAAAAAGCTCCCGCCTCGACTTCTGGAATTCAAACTGGTTTTCCAAGCTGAGCTGGGCGATCGCGTCATTTAACGACCGTACGATACGTACGTACATAAAAATATATAAAAGTAACAATGTCGCTCGGAGTTGCGGTATAATCTTCTTTATTCAAGAAAGAGCATTAAAAAAAAACAACAACGAATTGCTCTCCCCGGTGTCGTGATGTGTATGTGCGCCCGCGGAAGATTCCGCGGACCTGACTCAGAAGTTTACACTAATTGGATAGTTATTTTATTTTGCCGCTGCCGCCGCCTCCGCCGCCCCTTTCCGGTTCATATGGTTTTACATGCGCCGGAGATAATTGAATTTTATCTTACTTGCGGTCGGAAAAATAATTAAACTTGAATGTTCTCACTTTTGCTTGTATATACCTATATAGAGAGCGAGAGAATATACATCCACGCGAGCTTTGCAAAGCGCGCACACGTGTGTCATTGAGGATCGCGTGTTCTCTCTCTCTCGAATCGCGCTGCGCGTGTAAAAGCTTCGCTATTTAATTTTTACGAGCTCTCCGGAGAGAGAGAGATGTGCTCGTGGATAGCAGAATTTCGCGCGTAAATTTATTAAATATATATGTGTTGTTTAGCAGGCAGCGCAATTTTATGTACCTTACGAATTGCTACATACACTTTAATGAATATAATAATATAATAGCTGAAAACGATCGTGTATTACGTATTATTATATATAGCTGGGCGAAAAGTGTGCAAGCTGTGTGTGTGTATATATATAATAGCAGCGAGTATTAACCGATAATTGCTTGATTAGTCGAAAATCGATTGCTAATTCTCGGCATTACACATCTTAATCGAGTGCAATAATTGCTCGGGCGCTACCCGAGGAACGATTCGCCTCATCCGTATACGTGTGTATATAATACTTTCCCACCCTCCATTTTAACTGACCCCCTTTTCTCTTCCTATTTTTTTTTTAAACCCCTCCGATAATTATCTCGTTCTCATAAGTTTTGCCGTATAATGGTCGATGGTCCGCGCACAACTAAGCGCAAAAAAGTCAAGTAAGAAAAAAAAACAGGAAAGAAAGGAAACGGAAACGAGAGAATCTGAAATTTTTTCGTATTAGCTCGTTTGTGGACTGCCCACACCCACACATCCACATGTACACCACAAAAGTTACGTACGTGTATCGCACGGCAGCAGCAGCAGCAGCAGCAAGAAAGTGCGAAAAGCACGAGAGAATCTCTGCAGTTCGTGCGGCAGTCAAAGGCTCGGAGTGAAAAATTCCTGAAATTCTCACCGCACCGCAGTTGCGAGAGTATAAGGGATAAAGTAAAAGTAATATCATACCCATTCAATATCCCGCGCACGCGAATTCCTAGCATGTACAATGCTGTATACCGTATGTAGTATGTAAGCACGCGTCCGGCTGATAAAAGTGATACTGTACATCAGCGTTAGTTTTCTTGCTTAGTCGTCGTTGTCGTCGAGGCCTTTCGCCGAAGCTCGCAAAGTACCATGAATTAAGGTACCTAAACGTACGTCGAGAACCCTGAAAAATCAGTAGTTATCGGGCAATTTTTTATTTTTATTTTTAATCCCATTAAAAGTAACTACACTGTTGAGAAAAGCATTGAATTTAAAACAGATTTTATACAAAATCAGATTGGTATTTGAATTAAAATAACCACGCGATGAAACGAAAATTCAATCATAATTAAAACCAGTCTCCGCCACTAGATGGCGAGTACCTTTAACTGTAAATCTGCAAGTGGCAGAATCAAAAACTCGTATAAGCCAGCATGTATAATTTGAAATATACCACAAACATACCATAATTTGAAATTTCTCTACAAATACAAGATACATGATGTCAAAATAATGATTACAATTCCCATAATCACGCTTTAACATAATAATTCATTCGAAATCTCTAAAAGACGTCGGCACAGTTAGTTTCAGTCGGATTTGAAAAATTTTACCCGCTACCAACGACGATTCTTCGTGGATTTCGACGTATATATATATCCATGGAAGGGTAAATAGATATATTTTCCAAGCGCTAATCCGGAAAATCGCGCCCCGGATTAGCGCCCGAAAAGAATTATTATGTGCGCCTGCGTGCGTGTGTATACTGGCCGCTCTCGGGTGCTTTATCGCAGCAGAAGCAGCAGCAGCGAGAGGGAGAGAGAGAGAGAAAAATAATTGTGCGCGTGCGAGCGTCGCGAGCGAATTTATATAAAACCTCGGCTGCACACTGCACACTATATTTGCTTTGAAATATATGTACGCAACAATCGAATTAGCCGTCGGCTTACATTTCGTGCGTTTATATTCACCGACGGTGGTGGTGCTGCTGTTGCTAGCTGTTACTTTTTTTTATTGTCTTCGCGGTAAAATAGATGCACGCATGCGGCATAGCCGTGTGTACGAATGTTGCATATAATATAAAACGAACCTGGGTCAAGGGGTTTCCTATAGCATATAAGAACGCACTCTAGTATCAAAAAAGCTGCTACAATTATATTCTCCAAAAAAATCCGAAATTACACACGATTGTTTGTGTGTAAAACGGATTCTTTTCGCGACAGCTTAACAGTATAATTATACGGATCATGTGCTTTTGCGTCAATACGATGCTCGAGGTTCATAATATGGATGCAGGATCGCGCGCCGTGCGTCACGCTATATTCCCTACACCGTGTATACATCGTAGAGAATGCTGTTACGTATCGCTACCGGCATTTATATGTGTATCAAGGCCCGGGATTGATGACACTTTTACGTTTATTACAGCATACGCTGTATACGAATTTCTTTATGTACGTAAATATTTTTCTTTTTCTTCTCGTTTTTTTCATTCCTTTTATCGTATATCGAGAGTAATTACGGTGCGTCGCAAATTTCGGAGATGACGCAATTCGGACACCGGATGACAGGTGCGCAAGCAAGTGTCAACTGCGTATACAGTAATCGATACACAAGAAGTATACAGATCGTAAACAGTCACGACGAAGGCATCTCTCGAGCGCGCGCGATCGAGATTACTCAAGGTTGACAATACGCTCTCTTTCTTCCGTTAAAAAAATTGCACTTCCCCCCTGCATAGAGTACAGTTCTTACTTCGAAATACACACACACACACACACACATATGCACACACACGATTGCCCGGAGAAGTCATCCGGGCGAGGATTCTCTCGTCTGAAGCTGTATGGCCGATGTATATAGATATATAATAGACACATTGAACGGCAAGCATCGAATGTTAAATTGAATCAAACTCGCGAGACAAAAGCCTTTCGCGCACGTATCCTATCTGGGGCTGTGTGCTGTGCACGCAGGCAGGCCGCACCAGAATGAGGAAGCGATCAGCGGCTATATATAGACTCTCGCAGCAGTTGCTCAACTCATCCGAAGCTGCAAGCCAGGATATCGTGTACGACGCTAACAAAAGACGCGACGAGAAAGAAAGGACTCGATCGAGTGCTCGAAACCGCACTGAGGCGCGAAAGAAATAGGAAAAAGAGGAAGGAAAAAGAAACACGAGCGCGGACATTCGACGTAATATAAAGAAGTGCGGGAGCTACAGCGAGTACTCCCCCGCGTACTATATAATGAAAGGTGTCTACAGGCAAAATCACGTTCACTCGTATGGATGAAAAATAAAATTAAATACATTCAAAGTGCAATCACAGTTGAAAAAAAATTGCGTGAATTTTCTCGTGGATTCTGCGTAGAAAATACATGGATAATACGTGGAAATTTATACGAATTTTTTCTACCGGGATGTCTAATTTAACTAGCATTTCATACATAAAAAAGGAATGATTACATTTTTAGGAGAAAGCTCT